ATTTCTGGATTTCTTTAAACAGATAAATAACCAATATTAAAACAATTAGTTTCTTTAGTTTTTTCTTATCAATTCAAAATTAATAAGTATACAATTAAATTAAGTAGTTCATTGAAACATTAAATTCTTTAAAAAACAAAAGAAGATAGACAAGAAGTTTAGTGGCGCTATCTATCAATCTGTAAACTAACTACCCAGTTAGGTGAGGTAGTTCGCGTAATTCTTAAGCCTAAGAGGTTGAAAATATAAATAAAAATAGTAGTTAAAGTTGTTTATTTTTTTCTTTTAAAGAAAGACATTCGGAAAAAATCAATTTTATTACATGAGTTGAAATCTAAAGGAATTTTAAGGGATTCATTTTTTTATTGGTTGCATTAAGTTTGACGATGAAGATGTTCTTAAAAGAGCTCAAAATCTACTGCCGAGTTTTACCAAACAATAACATTTTGGAAATATCTGAACCTTTATAAGAAAATAATTGTTTAAGACTAACGCTTTTACTGCTTGTTATTTTAACTCGTACAATATCTGTAGGGTCAGCTCCGAGGTCTTTCTTGCTATTAAACGTAATAAAAAGTAATAAAGATCTAATCTAATCTAAGTTAAGAAAATTTTACTTCTCTAACAACTGGCATTCAGAAGAGATTTTATATAATGCCGAACATTTTCAGCAAAGTATGAAATATGATAATCCAAGTAGCACATAATATTAGATTACATCAGAGAACCAGAAAATCAAACGTTATTTTGCACAAATTTGGAATATTAGAATGATTTAGAAATCGCTGTTTTCTCTGCACTATATTTCGTAATATTCTCTATGGCAGTGTTTCCCAATGCGTGGTAGGCGTACCCCCTGGGGTACGGGAGCAGTTTAGTAGGGGTACGTGCTCTTATGCGAAAGATCTTGCAGCAAACGAAAAAAATTTTATGAAGAAATTTTATTTAAAAACAAAGCGAGCCACAAAATTTACGATAACGCATTTTTATAATGGCTATTTTTTGCAGAGTTAACAGCTAATAATTAGTGTTGTCAACAGCCAGTTGTGATTTTTTACTTTTGTGCAATTTTTTTCATAGTAAAGGTTTGTAATAAATTCTACTTATTTTCATTATTTTTATAAAATATAATTTTTATCTTTAACATAGAATATGGGTCGCTGTTTAATGTCTACAAAACTTTACCAGAAAAGAAAAATGAATATATTTAAATAAATGCATTCATTTTTTTTTATTAGTGGTACGCAGCGCTGAGAAAAATTTAGAAAGGGTACACAAAAGTCAAAAGTCATAAGCTATTTTTTCAGAGTTAACAGCTAATAATTAGTGTTGTCAACAGCCAGTTGTGATTTTTAAATTTTGTGCAATTTTTTTCATAGTAAAGGTTTGTAATAAATTCTACTTATTTTCATTATTTTTATAAAAAATAATTTTTATCTTTAACATAGAATATGGATCGCTGTTTAATGTCTACAAAACTTTACCAGAAAAGAAAAATAAATATATTTAAAAAAATACATTCATTTTTTTTTATTAGTGGTACACAGCGTTGAGAAAAATTTAGAAAGGGTACACGAAAGTCAAAAGTTTGGGAAACACTGCTCTGCAAGATAGTATTATCCAGCGTTCACTGTAATATTATTATCCTTCGGTTTTGATGTTATATAATATATATTATTAGATTTTACACTTTCTGTATTATAATGCATAATTTTTTACTTTTGGAATAAGCAAGAGGTAGATTTGGCTGTATATATATATAGAATTTTCAGCGGAACGCTTTGGT